AACTTTATACTGAAATAATACGCTCAAAAGGCTTGCTATTTAAAAAGATTTCGGGGCTCTTTATCAAAAATCCAAAGTATTTTGACATCAGCTTCATTTCAATGAATGAACAATTGAAGGTTCGAGAAAAAATATTCACCACATATATTACTCTGTAAACACCTGTCATGATATCATTTTCCACAGCGCTTGTAAAGCTGTCCTTTTTCAAATTCACAGCGGTGATATTCCATCTCTTTTTCTCAGTAACCTTAGATCAAAACATTACATTAATAAGTAAAGTATAGTAACATGATGGGCTCCGATGATGATTATGGAATATGTATCACTTACCTGATTGTCACCCAAAGCATCCAGCGGATTTAACACAATAAGCGTGGCCTTTGACTCTATTGCAAACAAATCCAGAAACATCTCTGCAACTCGAGTCTTTCCATAGCCAGTGCCCGCCAGTATAAATGTATCACGCCCCGCGACCAAAGCCACAACTGCTTCTACTTGTAGCTCTTTAGCTTTGCATTTATATCTTTTCAAATGATTGTCCTCAATTAGCTTCCTCAATTCTTCCTCGGTCAAGGCCAGGACCCAGTCTGGAAGAACAACCTTTGCATGAGTTTGCTTAGGAACTGCATCCGAAGGCAAATAAGCGAGGACTTCAGTAGGTCGTCGATTATTTTGTACATGTTTCGCGGGTGTCAGATTGTTTCTAGCTGAGCTACGAAGAGTATCTCTTCTTCCTTCAGGCTCGAAAGCAGGCGAATCGATGGTGACCATTGAAAAGCAACGTCGACACGCCGTGAGTTGATCGGTTGGGTAACTTGAGAACCGGGCTGAAAGCTTGATTTTTCGTATGCTTTTCAAAAGCTTGAGCCAGAACCAATCCCTCCCTTGAAACTTTTGCACCGTGTCTCACAGACAAACGAGTCTGTCTCTCTCTCTCGTAATCAAAACGACGCTCTCTCTCCCTCCCTCTTACTCCTTGATCGCCTCTCTCTTTTGACATGGTTCTCTCTCTTTTGCCATCGTCCAAAACCTTTTGGGCATCTTTCGGATTCAACCGCCTCCGCAGTGGTACAATCGACTTCAAAAATTGTTACAGATTTCAATCTGATGATTGAAGGAAAAGAATCATATTAACCAATGTGATCATGTTGATGAGACTATGTACAGGATGTGCGAGAATTTTTTGGTCTGTTCAGATTTTTCAACAAAGCAATGATGAAGGTAATAATGTAGGTCCAGTTTCAAATGTTTGAAAATCTGGATTTTGGGAATCTACTCAGGCTGAAACAACTCGATAAGTCGTAAGTCCCTCCTCCGCAGGCTCCGGAGGACGCCTGCGAGGAGGAGGGACTTAGTTAAGTTAGGCCGCACACCGCCTTTGGCGAATTATAGACCGCCTACTTATGAATCGCCTCAAGGCCGCCATGTTTCACCTGCAGGCCGCCACAAACGACCTTCAGGCCGTCCATCCATGTAAACCACCAATGCTCAGCAAATGCTGTTTTCACATCAGTGGCAGTCACCACATGGTAGTCAACCTTGCCTGACAATTGACTACATTGTCTTATGTCCATGATTCAAGACCCCCGCTTTCACTTCCAAGACACCCCCTGCCTGACAAAGTAGAAGGCAATAAGTGTGATGGATGCAAAGTGACAGAATCACAAAACCATCCTAATAATAATATTGTATGTTGAAAGTTCAACATGCAAAGGCAATCATTCAAAAAATTATCAAAAAAAAAGAGAAAAAAAACAAGTCGATAAAAGTTCAGCAAGCCAGATGGATCATTTTGCAATGGATTAGTGAAATTATCAAAACAAGATTGATTATATTTGTTTTCTTGGATTTGTTGTTTGAAACATTCAATTTCAAAGTGATCACAATTGCAGATATCACCCTATTCAGAAAGAGCAATTATCAGAAATCAGCATCCAAAGGTAAGAATTACACAATTTAAGCTCATGTTCCATGAGTTGCATCTACTCAAATCGGCCATCTGGATTCAGGGTTGTTGTCGAGAGGTATTGATGAAATCTGGATATCACTTCAAGACGACTTTGAAGACGGGGAATGGCGGAACTGGGGTGATGGGAAGAGGGCGAAGCCAGCTCGTCAGGCCGCATCATCAGCGCTGCTGTGCGCTGCGGCAAAGTCTGGCTCGCAAGGCGAAGGCCGCGTCACCCTCAGAAACCAATTAAAAGGCTAATGGATACATGTATCTTTATATCGGGTGCTTGGGGTAATTTGGTTGGGGTGCTTGGGATTTGAATGCTTGAAGGTCAAAGTCTGGCGCTCAAATCCAAGTCATCATCAGTCCTCATCGGTCACCTCCCTTCCCTCGATCACTTCCAATTTTGTCCTATCCCTTGGTAACTCTTGTTACAGCTCCTTACCTTGCTTTTTGTCAAGCAACATCCTAAGGCTTTTTGACACCAGGAACTCAACATCTGGTCAGTGAAAAGTTGTACACATCTACATCTGGGATTTTGATTCGAATCCCTTTGCTTCATTTTGAATATTTCCTTATTATCAGTTTCAAATTGTTTGCAACATCACTGATCACCCCCCAAATATACAATCTCAACACCTTGTCACACCTTACTGCCACTGATCCTGAATTGACTTTTTTTATGTGGGAACTAGATTGAGCACAATTAGGTGTTCATAGAACGACTCAACCAATCAGATCACTTACAATTGTCACATGTTTTATCTCATCAATCTTCGAGCAATCACCAACGGATTTGAACTCTAACCTTTAATTGACTCATCATTTCCTTTCTACTGCTTCTCATTACAGTCTCCATCGATTCCATTCACTTGCTACTGGCCGCTTTATTAGTACACCTCCTGTCGGTGCAGAGCATGGTGGTAGGGTGTGTCAGTGTATGATAAGCTTTTAGCTACAGTTGTAAGCCGTATTGTTTTTAATTCAGCTAACCGAGCTCGAATGAGAATGATCCATCTCTTTTGGTTGTACCTTGCAGGCTTCAGCTCGCAGCCATGATACACTTTGGAGTCTTGGTCTTGACCCTCTAACATCGAATTCACATCCTTGCAAATTGTTTCGAGAACTTAATGTGGACTGTTACCTGAATCATGTTTTGCTTTCCTATTGATAACATCATCACGTTCAAAGATGCCTATTTTGATCATTTAACTACCAAAATCTCTTATTGTTGTGGTTATCTCTTATACTTTCTAATTTGATATTACAATGTTTTTATTTGTTTGGTTACTGTGCAATGAAATACAACTCACTGCTGCATTAAAAGCCCCTTCCTCATCACATAAACAAGCGTATCGCTCCTGCTCCAAACCCTAAAAAATGAACACAATTTTCGGGTTTCCGCTCATTTTATGCCCAATATATACCTCCCGAGGGCCGCCTGCAGGCCGTTTGCGAGCCGTCTGTAGACCGATCTCCAAAGGCGGCCTTCAATCGGTCCGCGTGGGGCCTACCTGCAGACCGCCCAGCTCCCCGCCAGAGTAGGCGGCCCACAGGCCGTCCATGCCTACCCGTGGTGTAAGGGAGTAATCACAAAATTTAGGTTTTGAAAGCTGAACAAGACCCAGTCTCGGTCAGGTAAAATTAATATCAGATGATGATTGATGATAATGGGGACTTTGGGCTTCAAAGAGAGCGCTTGTATCTGGCAAAAGCAAGCCTCTCAGAGACGGTGAATCGTGATACTCACCTCTGACAAGCCTTCGGATTTACTTTGGTCACACTGCAGGCATACCCACTCTTGATGACTGGTGCCATGGTCACGTTTGCACGTTTTCACAATCATGAGAGCATCGGGGGTTGGTACACATGGATCCAAGAGATCATGCTTGCTCGGCTCGGATACTTCCTTGAACAGTTTACGACCCGGCGAGCCTTCTTGTCTTCATGATGTAAGTGCTGATGACGAGGAACTCTTTAACATGGGGAGTTCTTTACGTAGACACTCGACTGAGGAGCATGTTCCATTTCCGTAGGCACATAGGCTATCAGTCGGTGCGGTTGTCGTGAAGCAATTTTCCTGGCAACATTACTTTGAATCGTTGTGATCAGCAACATGAGTCATCACCTCGTAAGAAGGCCCATTGTACTCGCCCGATTCTCACGTTTTGTTGACTCTTGTCGTCTTGAACACGGTGTAAATATCACACTGGGCATCAATCAATCTCTCATTAATTTGTGGATGATTGTAGTCAGTACCCATCGTGTCATAGCCTATGCGAGATCAAACTTAACCCGTCCCTCTCCTTCGCAAAAGACTTGGGCTCGAGAGTTTGCGAGAGAGAGGGACGGGTTAAGTTTGTCATTTCCTATAATTGATGACTGGATTCCTCGCACCTTCCTTCCAGCAAGCTCGATCGTAGGCGAGAGGATCGATCGCTTCGCATGAATACCTTCTACTTCTACGCCAGTGGAAAAAAGCACGCCAAGAAACTCTGTTTGATGCTAAACTTACTAGCAACTCATCGCACCGAAGATATTTGAATCAAGAAGGTATCTATTCTTGGTGTAGGCCGTCAAGATCTTGACTCTAAAGATTATGCTGGATTTGAATTATCTCTGGATAGCATATTGGCTATTCTCTCTGATTCTCACTAAGCAATGTGTTAGATGTCACCTTGCTTCAAAAGAACAAAATACTTCATGCTCTGCTCATGCTCAATATCTTGTGTCTTGGCATTCTTGGATCTTCATTTGAGCACAAGCAATCGTGATATGTGACTGGTCTCGGAAATATGGATGATCCAGACCCTACCTCGATCAGCAGCCAGGTTATTTCCGTGGTGCACTGTGTTCAAGGGCGCTAGAACGACACATCGAAGGCCATCATCCTTCGCGCTTCCTGTGAAATGGGCGCGTAAAGTCTGAAAGCGACATAATCGCTATAGCTTTTGTCTGGAGATACCTCTGGATAGCTGTTGAGCGTATCCTTCCAGCTCAACATCATGATGCGACGGATTCTGATCTCCTTACTGCTTAACCTCTTTATGTATCTCTCCGGCATACATAAACGTCTCAGCGCTGGCTCTCCAAAACTTGACCATCGAACGATTAATTCATCTTGCCCATCTGCCGTTCTTGCACCCCTGGTCAACTACATGGTTTCGTTCCACATGTTTCCTACATGGACCACCTAGACCCTCGCGATGATTCATACCGCTCAAGAAGACTTTTTTCTCTCGTTCAATTGACACTGTATTGTACTTGAACATTGCCATGACGCCGCGCCACGGTCTGCCGCAAACGATTTTCCGTACACCTTCGAAAACTTTTGCACACAGCTCCGCTTGAGGAGTTCAACCGAACCACTTCAGACTTGGCGGCACATCGCCCATCAAAACCCTCGTGCGCCACCGGAGATTTTGAACCCTGAAATTATTTCCACGCCGAAAATCTTTTCGAGAAATCTACCCTCCCGCTAGCGGAAAGCTATCAGATATTAAAAGAACCTCCGCTCACCACAATCTTGGCCTTGCTCCCTCATAACTTCTCCATTCTTTCTCTATACAAATCCATATATAAAGGACCTGCTTCACTATATAACTCGCCCTGTCTCTCCCTTTTGACATTCTTCGTCCCAACTCCAAAACTCTCACAAAGCCACTTTTTAATCCATCATCTCCTGACCTTTTATAAAGGAATCAAAAATGCTATTCGGGTACACCATCATTCTAGCAGCTCTTGTGGCTGCCCAAACCGCTATAGCCACCAATCACACAGCCTGTTTCAATTATTTCTTGCAAAAAGACGGATGCGTCTTCGCATCTGCCGACGATGAGACTCGCTGCAACGCCACAACTGGGAAACCAGAGATCCATAGTCCAATGAATCCTGTTGGAAGGGTATGATGGGTTCACTGGCTCTCTTTCCGTGGATATCACTTGACTCTAACACTCTTGCTCGCTTCTGTTCTCTAGTTTCAACAAAAAGGATGTCAAAAGCATCTTAAAATACCCGCGCCCAGACCAGCATCCTTAGGACGACGATACACCTCTGAGAACACCAACACGGTTAGTAATTTATTGACCTTTACACACAATGAAAAATCTGACATGAGTTCCTGTTCTAGTCTTTCGCGATTGACGATGGCCCAGGTGTGAGTAGCACAAAAAGCTTCGGATCAGCGAAAGCGTGTTCTAATGTCCAAAAATTTCTCCTTGATCAGGCATGCGGCAATTACAGTACTAATATGCCAGGAGCCTGTCTCTGGGTGCGTTTCTAACCATCTTGATCCTCAATTCCAATTGTTGCAAGACCAGATGATATTGCAGCGATGTTGATATCAATATTTCTGCTTTACAGGCCGGCACTGAACAAGACAAAGGTGATAACCCTTTGACCGCAGGATGGGTGAACGGGTCAGCGAATTTCCGTCCCGCTAAGATTTGAGTCATCCATCACTCATGAATGTTCAATTTCCTCAGAGCAAAGACATCGAACTGCGGGAAACAACTTTACATTCAGCGTAAAGGTCGGCCCGACAAGCCTTTCTTTGTCCCTGTCGTTGATGGTTTGTTCTATGCTTCTTTTCTTTTCCAAAAAAGGTGTTCTGTTACTGATTCGTGTTCAAATAGCCTGCAATTTCTACACCTTGAATGTTACCATTGGATGTTTCCAAATCGCCGTCACTAACAAGGTAGCTGCTTTCTTCATAGAACGAATACTGTGTGTAAGCTGACTCTCATTGATCAATAGACTTTCTACGATCTCGAACCCACTGAGCAAGAGCTTCAGCAAGGATATCTTGGAGATCTTGTTTGGGATTTGTAAGTGACCATGACTTTTCAGGCATATGATTCTACGTATCACATTCTCTGACTTTATTTGCTTCCTCTTTGAACCTCACAGCAACAACTTGTACGGAAACAAATCCACAAATGGTCCTGTATAAAACAGTGTCGATGACTGTCTCTGCTCCTTATGTTGAGCCAATTCAGAACCGCTTTCTCTATTTCATTTCATAAATTTACATATAGTTCATGTAGATACAAACTGGACGAGACAACAAGACTCTACTACCTTTTCAGAAAACATTATTGTTTTCGCTCTTGTACGGACTCCTAAATCAAAACCAATGCTGATACCAGATCACAGACCTTGTGAATCTTGATAGACTCAAAGAGACATTCAAGCCCCATACTTTCTGCCCTCTCTCTGTCACTCAACAATTGATAGAATTTGACGCAGATGTTTGTGAGAAATCCTTTGCAATGGCATGTAGGTAATATCAATGAACACAAAATCTTTGATATGCTCTGGGTCCCTAAGCTAGTCACTCCAAGCTAATCTTCCAGAGTATCATTGAAAATCCCAATATTCTGGCTCATGTGTAGCCACCATCATTTGCAAATCAAAACCAAGCGCAAGTGAAATTATGCCAAATTTCGTGTATCATTTGGGTGAACCGCATTGGCTACACCATCAATACTATCACTAAGCTGACCAGCGTGAACCAGTTTTCAAAAAATGTAGTTGAACACCTTGGGTCATGAGGCTTTGGACCTTGGAACTTGCTTGGAGCAAATCATGCTACTTTGAAGATTTGTGACCTTTTCTCTTGAAGCATTTATGTATCAGAAGGCCTTGTTTATCAAAATCATGTGCCATAATACACAGTTTGGACATGTGATGCCCATCAGATGAAAAAAACCTGTTGCTTGAATGTCTGGAACATGTAGGCAGTTGATGAAAACAGGACTGATGGCAAAAATGAGGCAATTCTGATTTTTTTCTTTACACGCATGTGTGTAACGCTGGTGCACCCATGACTGTAACGCAGGCACACGCATGCGTGTCACACAGGCCTACACATGCGTGTAACACAGGCACACACATGCATGTAACGCAGGCACACATATATGTCACACGCAGGCACACACATGAGTCACACGCAGGGACACCCATGCGTGTAACGTAGGCACACGCAGGCGCATGAATGCATATCACGCATGCGTCTGCCTGCGTGTAACACGAGCGTCAGAGGGAGGTGTACCCATGCAATTACCTGCATATGATGCATGCGTACACCCGTATCACCCGCATGTGTATACCTGCGGGTGACGCAGGTGTACTCATGCAACACACGCAGGTATCCGCATGTGTACACCTCCCTTTGATGCATGTGTACACCTGCCTCACACGCAGGTGTACTCATGGAGGACCCTGGAATGCGCCTATGGATGTATCTGATGAAAATCAGGACCTTTTGTTGGTGATGTTTTTGGACACTAAACTTCACTTCACTGACACCTACAGGAGTTTAAACGATGCGCCAGAAGCAGGCCTTTCAGCTACACTAACTTTCAACCCCGTAGCTCCAATACTTCCTGAGATATCTCAATGTAACAGCCAAAAAAGGCCCATATTTGGAAGGTCCTAATCGGACCTTGGAGGCCGATTTTTTTTTGCGCCTTTGCAATTTCCGTCGAACTGAGCAACGCTACAGGTCTACGACCAGGCTCATTGGATAGCCCTGTCCCATGCGCATCTTTTTAGGTGTCTGGGACCGCGAGGCAGGTAGTGGTGTGTAGAGTAGCACCCAAAAACCAAAAATCGGGTTTCGTCAGATACATCCATAGGCGCATTCCAGGGTCCTACTCATGGTAAAATTGATTCGATTGATTCAATAGATCTAATTGAATCAATTGAATCAATTGAATCAATGGAATCAATGGAATCAATGGAATCAATGGAATCAATGGAATCAATTGATTTGATTGAATCAATTGATTTCAATTGATTTCAATGGATCCGATCAATTCAATTGATTTGATTGATTCAATTAGATCTATTGAATCAATCGAATCAATTGAATTGAATCAATCAAATCTATTGATTCAATTCATTTAATTCCGATTCAATAGAAATGAATTCCAATCATTAATTTGAATTGAAGGATTCATAATTGATTCCTTTCCATTTCAATGCTTGGGGGTCAAATCATTTCCCCTTCCCTCCCATTTCTCCCACTGATCAATTTCGTGATTTCTCGCCTCATCCATCCATCAGTCAACTTATCCTCCTTTTCGATTCAGCCCGTCAATTTTGCACCCTCTTTGTTTGCACTTACTGTCGTTCTTGAAAAGCTTGTCCGAGTTTTCCCGCAAAACTCAAGCAATTTGGCGGGAAAACTTGGACAAGCTTTTCAAGAACGACAGTACTTCCACCTTTCTAACGTCTCTACTTCCGGGCAAGTCCCTAGCAACTACTATCTTGATCAACTCACAGATTCCCAAGTCTTATTTCCTCATCCATTACACATTCCACCTGTGCCTTACAGATACTTCGACAAAACACCGTGTAATCTGTGAAAATATAGACGGTGTTGTACTGAAAAAGAGTAGACAGACCTCCCAGACGTCTGGGATCCGGCATCTATAGCGCACAAAACTCAAGTCAGACACGTCTGACTCCCTCAAAAATCCGTCAAAGGCATTTACCAAGTTACACACCAACCAGACTGGTCTGTACACCTACAGACCAGTCTCACCACACCTGCTCTCGCAGAGAGCTCACCACCAGACCAGTCTGTCACCAACCAGACCGGTCTCACCGCACTCGTTCTTGCACAGAGCCCACCACCAGACTGGTCTGTACCCACCCAGACCAGTCTCACCACACTCGCTCTCGCAGGGAGCTCACCACCAGACCGGTCTGTACACACTCAGACCGGTCTCCTTGCATCACCACACCTGTCTGTACTAGATCAGACAGGTCTGCACATCAGTCTCCCTCCACCAGACCTGTCTGTAGCTGCTCAGAAGGGTCTCGCTGCAACTCATCACCAGCAGCCAGTCTTGCTTCACGCTCCAGTTCTTGTCAGCCGCCTTGCCAGGTAGCAAAACCATCTGGCCATTTATGTAAGTCTTTGCTTCCTCTATCATCTTTCTAATCTACCTGTGCTGCTTACATATTCAATCAATACCAAACAATTAACTTTGAGGCAAGCTACACTCAACCATTGAATACAATTACTGACTTGACCAAGACATTATTCATCCTTTACCGAATTCATATCTCATGCTGAATCGTTCTATTCACTTATTCAGATCACTTTTTTTATTTTAGGCTTCATCCTCTCCTCAAAGTTGGGTTCAATCTGCTCTCCAATTTAGGTCACGAGGTCATCTCACCTTCTCCAATTTAACACACGACTTTCAACAATTGGATATCAAACTATCAAGGAACAATTCAAATAGCCTTTGAAAACAATAAATTTCATCACACGTCATCCAAGATATCAGCCAAACGATCCTTGACTACAACCTCATTGATCATCTCATTCCCTATATCCTCGTCACCGAAGAGAAGATTGTGCTCAATCACTTCAAATTCATCAAGCTCCTGTGCTGCAATAGGACCACCCCGAAGAAACTTTTCCCAAATTCGACTCAATCTATCAATCAGTGCATTCCACTTTGTAGCCAATATAGCAACACTTTCAGGTGTTTCCGATGAAAATTGTGATGTTTTTCGAAGCAGAGAAGGTAAGTGAGTATTCCAAACCATCCAAGTTCGGCAATATTTCATTGTCAGTTGAAGATGTAAGGCTCTCAAGACTTCTTGACTTGTTTTCCATGCTGACCTCAACACAAACCCGTTGTGTAGAACCCACTGTAGAGGCCTCCTATCATCAGGACAGCCGTCCACCCACTCTACTCGAACATACTCCATCAGCTGAAATACAAGTAATTCATGTGATATTAACATACGTACCCATTTGACTCAATTTATAGAGTGCTGACAGCTTCTCGTCCATCTGCAAACTTGATCTCATCATGTTTTGAACTTCACAAGCAATCCTCTTGACCTCTTCCTCACTACTCCTTGCTGTCCGAAACGCCTGAATACCATTCTGTGTGGCCAGATGTATTGCCCAAGGCTCATCAGGATGAGTAAGATGACCTATGTTCCAAAAGATGTCGGCAATATCTAAGGCTTTAAATTCTTCAATTGTTGGGAGTCGCTGAGCAGGAGCATCAGGGTATGCTTCATGATATTCTTCAACAACAGATTTGTAGGTATTGTATTTCTGCGCCAAGGCCTTGTTTCGCTTATCCATAACATTCTTGTATCTTGCTTGATCTGTTGTACCAATATTACACAATAATATAAAAAAACGTGAAAGGAATGAAGAACTTGACAAATGCAATACATACCTATACCTGGCTGATCCCACTTCTTCTGCCACTCGACTTTCCCCACCTTAGCTTCGTAAAGCTTCTCTTTGGCCATTTGGACTCGCATTTGTAGCCGTGCACGTGGGTCTACAGCACATCAGATGACACATAAAGCAAGCATTGTAACTAAGTAAAGGATAGCTCACCTCTAACCTCGGGCATGCCACGAAATTTGTCACCACCTAGATCATCTGCCAATTTGGAAATGGATTCCTCAAGAGCCACGAGCGTAGATGGCAGTTTTCGTAATGCCTCATGCTCCTCTGGCGTCAAATCTCTTCGCCGCAAATGCCTGATCTTCTTCAGTTCATTGCTATGAGATACAAAGAATTGAATGTACGATTTAGATCATAGAAGGGATGAATAGTTACACTCACTGAGCGTCTCGAAAATCTTCTTCGAGTTCAATTAGGTGTCCCAATTTAGTTTGTAACTTTTGTAAGGAACCATCTGCCATCATCTCGGCTTGACAGGTCCTTTGGCGTTCCCACTGGGCCGAGAAATAGTCAACTGTGTGATGCTCATCAGCTGCTTTCAGCAGCTGAAGCTGAGTATGTGCTTCACTAAGTCGGGCTTCAGCTATGTTAAGCTTATGAAGCGCTGATTTTGCTTGAAAAGACATACAATTGTCAGATCAGAGGTTGTGTGAAGTCAAGCAAATAAAACTACTTAACAGCTTTATCACGAGAGAGGGTATTATTGTGCACCAGCTTTAGATGTAAAGCATCTTGACGGAACTGGCTTGTAGACCACCGAAGCAAAGGTATCAGTGGTGATATCTTGAACCACTCGCGTTCTGATCCTTCGCCGTCTGAGAGACCCCAACAAGCGTTGAGTCGTGGATTGTATTGGAGCTGGCAGCTCCACTGATGCACGTAAGCATGGAATGCGCTAGTACCAAACATTAGGCAGTCCTCAGAGATCTCTTCGACAAATAGCTTGTTCTGACAAAATCATACTTTTTAGCAATTGAATTGAATGTAGATCAATGTAAATCAACTCACCTTTATCACACCGTTTTCTACAGTACATCCGATGTCATATAATAGGCCTACACCAGCCTTTATTGTTTCTGTTCGGGCTTCCAATATCGAAGAGAAAAGTTCTCCAAGCAAAGCATGTACAAAATGTGCCCTACGTAGAATATAATAGCTTAGCTCACGTCAACACAGTGATAAAAGATTGGAGACTACTTTTCACCACTGCAAATAACATTGACCATCTTAATCATGTGGTCGTGTTGACACACCAAGTCTATCAATCCAGTCTCTTCGCACCCTTTCCAACTCGTTCCATTCCTTCTGTCTGACGCAGCAGTGTGCTGAGATGTGCAAGGATCCTGAAAGGAGACTTTGTGTAAGTGTAAAATATTCGATAGAAATTCGGGATGCTACATACCAGCAAAACCTCGGTGTGGTGTCCTTTTGGCTCCCATCTTGCCACCTCTTCTGGTTTCATGAAAATTGATGGAACCAATGGTGTTATTTCCTCAAAGTTGCGACTGGCCAATTCGTGATGTCGTTGTTGGAAATTCCCATCAACACAAACAATATATTGTGGTCCTTTTCAGATTCCACAATTACCAGCCGGATTAAAACACCGGGGGCAATTAGCAGCAAGCTTTTCCAGAGGTGTTAGGCTAAGGCCCCGAGTTTCCAGCTCCTCCATTGCTTTGAGAATTTGCCGATAGAAAATGATGGCGCCTGTCAAAGGTTTTTGCCAGAGCCGAGGCTGACATAAGCACCAAACAAACAAGTGAGGTTTCAATCAGTTACTCGCGTGTTGAGAATATGATGTGTTCACACCTCATAAGTTCCAGGTACCAGAATTGGAGGATTGAATGCATCCAGATACTTATCAATCATCAAAGAAAATGGTTGAATGTTTGAAGGGCAATATTCCCAAGATAAATGATAAAATCGAAGAAGACGTAAAGAAAAGGCTGCCTCCGGAGTCTTTGGTGTCCCTCCCAGGTAACCAAGATTTATCAACCGCACTTGATCCGGCAAGCAGGAGCAGAACTCAACATTAATCTTTTGGTGATCTGAAAGAAACCATGTTTAAATTATATTTATCTGAATAATATCGCTCATAGTAGATTCGGACTTACATATCAAGTCAACAGTGTCCACCGCTCGAACGCGCTTGAGAGCATTGCTACATGAGCATTCAAGATCATCATTAAAGTTGTGGCACCAGAGCGTTTCATGTCCCCAGTTTGAGGTACGTTTGGAGCCTTTCATAAAGGCTATGAACACCTTTGGCATGATGTCCCTCCAATGAGCGTCCTCTCGTAAGCGTTGATGCTTGTATGGATCACTAGACATCAACTGAGTTAAAGTTAGTGGTTTTGGTGGTTGAACTTCATCATCTCGATTGTTTTCGCCTCCGAAGTCGTCAAGAATTGGGTAATGCTCGCTTTCGTCATCACCTACAACAGCCTCCTCCTGGTAATCTGGTTGGCTCTGTGGCTGTAAGATATGTTCAAAAATTTCTTCGCACTTTCTCTTACCCCAAGCAACCTTTGCTTTATCATTCTCCAATTTTTGGCGAGTTGCCTCAGTTCGTGGTGCCTCTCTGCGCTTGCCTTGATTAACCTGTTGAGACGGTATAGAGTGACCGGATTTACCCATTTAAGATGTACAAATTGAAGTATGACAAATTGAAATACAACAAAAAAGGTCAACAATGTGAGCTTGAAACTGTGCTAGACACTGGGGAAATTGATTACCAATCTAGGAAACCGCCAAGGAACTATAAAATCAGTCTATTCCAAAAAGGGACGTCACAAAGCTGACGTAACTTGAGTAGCTCTTGACAGGGCTGGCTCTGTTCCATCTGTTGAGTATGTAAGCGGTGGGGTAATTTGAAATCACATTGGTCAGTTCATTGGGTCAAACAGGGCTTTACTTCCTCCCACAAATCAGTTTTGATACAAACATTCCTTGAACATAACAATCAACAGAGAAATGAAATTATTGGTATGCCAAAAAAATTAGCAAGGTCAAACCAAATGAAAGAATAATGTGATCAAATGCATGCATCTGAGTCATTTGTGAATTAGTAAGTTTAAGAAGAAGAAATATTCAGTAAAATGAATAGTGTTGAAAGATTTGAGATTGATCAATGAAAGTCTAGTGCAAGGGGACAATAGGTAATTGGTTATGTTACCAAAAAACAACTTAAGACAAATCCCACCCAGCAAGTGCTTGTCAGCCAAATCAATGATGGCATTGCATCAACAAGGAAACAAACATATGGTATTGATCGAATTGATGAATTATTGAATATACACAATCCAGAGGAACCAAATTGCAGAATTCCACTATGTGGAATGATGTATTCATCATTAAATTACAACATCATCCATGAACATTGAACTACAGTCAACTCCCTCTAATTACATACAGTTTGGCGGGTGGTTTTCTCATGCACTTAAAGGAATATGCACTTATAGACCTCATTTTGGCTGGCAAACCCCTTTTTGGCGGCAAAAAATCCTATGCACATAGAGAATTATGCACTTACAGGGATATCAAGTTAGAGGGAGTTGACTGTACTATGAATCACTTTGGTTTGATGGATGTCTAGTGAGATGTTTATAGGTGTTTTGCATTCTTGAGTAGTGTAATGAATGCCAATATGAAACCCAAAACTTTGAACCACTTTGGAATAAAAAAATACGGTGAGTATTTTGATAGTTTTTGTAAATGCTATTCCTTCTCAGTTGATAGAACACTTGGAAGTTGTAACCATTACAGATGTCCAATGGTGAAAGGGAATGTGCAGAACTATTCCCTGAGGTTTATTACCCTGTATGGAGCAGTGATTTGTCTTACCAAACTGGTGAGCCACACAAAGTACTTGTGATGTGATGTTTTTACACACTAAACAGCAACAATTATGGGTATCCTGACCAAAAAAAAAACTTTTTGAGGTCAAACCAAAGTATCATGTTATGAAATAATTGAGCAACTTTTAATTTCTGTTCAGAACATAAACTAAAAGAGTTTTATTTAAAGACCGTACCTTAAAAACCTGGTGTAATATTCACAACAATAGCCTTAAGTGCTAGAGGAACTGACTTCACAGTGGATAAAAGTTGAATATATTAAAGCCTCATACCTTCCATCTCTCATACAGCTTCAACTTTTGGTTTATTCCAAGAACTCAAAAATTTTCATTGGTAGCACAGGTTTCCGTAGGACCTGTGCTGCTACCTTGCGGAGGTGCCTAAATGCCCCATACATGCAATATGGATTAATCCCACAGTGGATAAAAGTTGCATATGTGAAGGCCTCATACTATCAATTTCTCATAAAGCTTCAACTTTTGGTTTATTACCCAAACTCAAGATGATTCATTGGTAGCACAGGTTTCTGTAGGACCTTGCAGAGGTCCTGCTTTTCCACAAAACACAAACAATATTGCAGCAGGCCTAGCTCTTTGGAGGCAGAAATTTTTGTCATTTAATCTTCTCTGAAGTGAGCTCATATAAACTGTCTTCAACTTGCTTTCTGTAGCTCCCATCCTTCATCTGAATATATGTGCAGTCAAATCCCACCTTTTACGCCTGCTCTGCCACAGAAGTCAAATAATCACTAGTTTTTTATTTCTATGTGGTCTATGTTGAAGTATTTGATTCATTTATATTGATGTAAGGACTTCACCTACATATCAAAAAATCAGTATAATACTTTATCAATGATAAAGTAGCTTTACAACTTACCTTTCAAACTGAAAAAGTTTTATTTCCGCAAAATTCTCAAACATTGGGTCAGAGCAATTGAAGAGACAATAAACTTGATTTATATTGTTGTGGGGCCTTCTGCTAAATATCAATAAATCAGTGTAGTACTCTCTTCAATGATAATCAAGCTTCTCTTCAGACTTACCTGGAAAACCCAAAAGGTTTTATTTGGGTGGTGTCTTACTGCAAAATCCTCAAATAGGCGGCCAGAGCCGCCCCTAAAAAGACAATAACCTTGGTTTATATTGGCATGTAAGCTTTATCTACAAGTCTTGGAGACAATGGACAACATCATAAACCATGAACCTTGGGGTTCATTCCAAATTTGATAGAGGAACCAAGAGTCAATGTGACTAAAAGAACACATGTCCAGATTTTAAGGTGTCTAGATTTTAAGGTGTCTACGGTTTTGACAAGTAAAAGTTAAGTATTTTTTTCCATAGGTTCTGTTTTCTTTGGGAGTTTTACACAAGTAATGCTAAAAATCTAAGGTTTAATCAATGCTACGTCCTGTGTTTTATTGATGCTGTGTATGTAATGCTACGTCCTCCTCCTCTTATACCCCATCCAACCAAGCCTCTATCCTACCTCCCCTATCGACATCAACAAACTTTTACAACCAACTAGCCATAGCAATATTTCATCGACACAGGGAAGAGTGACACGCTCCACTCGTGGCAATATCGAGGCACCTGCCACCAACACTTTACCAGCTGCTAAACGGTCGCGTCGGACTGCTACTCAACACCCAGCCCTTGGAATCGACGACCGTCAATTGGATGCAGCAAATGAACAAGAACTAGAACTCGCCAATCTTACTTTACAGAACTATCATGAACATAAGAAGAGTTGGCCTCTTGCTCGCATTCAGGCCCAACTTGCCCGACAAGCTTCATCTGACCACCAGCTCGGTGCTGTCGTCATCGCCGAAGGTCAGGCTCTTCTCGAAGCACTGGACCACACTGTTCACATGTTGGCTATGGCGGCTGGTGTCAGCCTTCCCAAACTCAAGCGAGCGCTGTAAGTTTTCTCAATTCTTTACTTTTCTCCAAATATTCCCAGTACAACACTGAGTCACTTTGGCATCAACATTGCAGGGGCATGGTTGGGGGAACACACGGTGAAAACCCATGGCACCGGTGGCTTAGCTTTGCCTTGGATGCTAACAAAGCTCCAAGTAAGTTGAATTGAAATCCAAATCAAAATGTAATCAGGTTTCACATTAGAACTCACCTTTCAATCATTTCACCATATCACCTTGATATCATCCTTCACTTTCTGTCCTTTCGATCCTTTCCATTCCTTCTCTGCCTTCATTCAATTCGCTTCTTTTGTCAAATCAATTCGCGCACCTTCTTCACTTTAAATCCTTCCTTTCTTCTCTTCCTTCACTCCATCTTGACCTCGTCAAATCAATTCCCATTCAAGTGCCTATGCAAGGAGCCAAAGATTCTAGCGAGCAGCTCACCCGTTGCAATAAAGCCAACTCTAGAACATATCAAGCCCTTGATGACGATGAATATATGGTTTTCACCGCCAAGATCTTCTATGCACTTGGTGGCTATCCTGATTACTCGTATATCACCGTTACTGAAGACCTGAATGTATTTGGCGATGCCTCAATTCTAATCCCAGAGGTTCCTAAGCTTAGCATCAAAGATGAGAATTGATACCGACCCATTTACGAAAAGCTTGTTGATTTGAAGAAGGTTGAAAGAGATTGAAAACTCAACACACCGGCCGCATCTGAAGCCAGAGAAGAGAAGCGATCTCTCATGTCCATCAAGAAGATAGCTCAACAAGTGAGTTGTCTCTTCTTGACATTCTCCTTTCTCATCATGACACATTAATCAGGACAATCTTATTATATGCAGCTCGCACGCGACCATCAACTCATGGGAGTCGACTATTATCTTATTGCTTGTAGCAATAACAATACTGGTGGCGGATGGTGTCAAGAGTACACTACTTGAGATGAGATCTCAACATGGGTTCACGAAAAGGCTCAACTGCAGCGAGTCTTTCCGCTGTATTGTCAAAACGGAGATATCTTGGACAAAATCAAAACGGTAGCGGCTGAAAATAAATCTACATCAAACCTCAATGTAAGCATCTAGTATGTATGCATATCACGCTTTAAGCATTGAAAATTGTGTGCTGATTTTTGCTCCCACCAGCTAAAGTGCCTTGCGATGTATGCATATCACCTTATAAGCAAGAGAAAATCTGTGCCAATCTCTATGCTTACATCGAGGGTTGACTGTACATCTGGAACTCAAAAACTGTCTAACAATCGATCTGACGCGGATAAAAAGACACTAGGTACACAGTTGAGTGATATGTTGGGTATGTTTAATTACTTTGTCCATTTCTATCTTTTTTGACTTCTTCTCTGATTATTAGGTTCATCTTCTCCTGAAGTTGGTGGTGTAGGAGCTGGAGTGAATTCAGGAACTAAACCTTTGTTCCTTCTACTAGACCTCATGTCGGTTCGAATTTGAAAAAGTGGTGGGATCTTACCAACGACGAAAAGGGGCGAGTAGGAGGAGAAAAGGAGGAGAACACAAATTTAATCCGAAGAGGTTGAATTCTGGGGAGACAGCAGCGTGGCGTGAATCTGGAATTCACCTATCTGGAATGTGGTGAATCTTATTCAGGGCAGGACTGCTGAGATAAGCCCGGGCTTTATTCTCACCGGTAGCTGAGACTCTGTGCAGGCAGGTCTCTCTGTCTCTCTCATCCTGAGACTTTCCTCCGACACGACATGGACGGGGATGATTCCTTGTGCCTTCGTCACCATCCTACAATCAATCAAGATCACACAATCTATCCACCTCAATCTCTCTTGTTGTAATTTCTATTCTTTAGTTTCGATCTCCACCTCTCTCGAGCTACACCCTTAATTTACCAACCTCATTCAATTTTGATCTCAACCTTCCATCTTGATCTTGATCCTTTATGTAAGTCACTAACTTTCTTCTGATCTTTGCTTCATACTGACACAACTCTCACTCTTGCTTATAGCTTTAAACCTCAAAATCGATGATCTGTTAGATTCATCATCTTGATCTCAGCTCCTTTTCAACTACACAGCATCACCCTTTTTTTTTCTTCCAGCTTCATGACTTGATCAAATTTCATTTTTGATCTTGACCGTTGATCTTGAACTTCATCCTGCCAAGTAAATAGGGATTGGGCGAGGTGAAATTTTGTAAAACTCGATTCGACTGCAACTTCAACAAAGGGCCTGGCAGATCCACCGCAAATATCTATAAACAGATAAGGCTTTTGTATGGAGTTGACCTGGAAATATGTCAGATCAAAGAATATCACATGTATTTAGGACGGGTTAGTGGAACACACAACCACAAATTTTAGATCAAATCAAAAGCAAAAAAAAATGTGGAGTTACAGGACTTGTGGATGGTTGTCTGCTTTGATTGTATTGAAAATTCTCCCTTTGGATTAATTTGGGAGTAGCTGTGCAGTTCTATTGAATTGAAGATATGTGAAAATACTCTAAAATACAATTTTACAAAACTTCACTTCACCCAATCCCTAGTGAGACATCTTTTAGGGTTTCTGGATATTAATCTTGACAGTAACTGATAGTACCCTCTTTGTCTTGTTTGAATATTAGATCCCAAAATCAAACCTCTCATTGACTTGAAATTTTCGATTTTGGCTGTAATTGAGGTATGTAAGTTTTGTATTCTTTCTTTGTCTCTTCAACTGAACTGAGCTGATATGATGATGAGCTTTGAGTATGTTATGTTTAATTGTTTATTCAATCTAAGCTATCAATCTTGATCATCTTTGATTCTGAGCTTTGCTTTAGACATGTCTTTTCCGTGTTGATTTTCTTTTCTTTTATTTCACCTAACTAAATATTATAAACTTTTCAATCTGTTATCCTCAATGATTCTCTGATATGTTTTTTTAACTCTTCCTTTATGTGATTCTACTTGTTGAATTTCCCTTGATTTTGAATGTAAATTCGGGTTATCTTCTCAGTGAAAATAAAATAAAATATGAGTTTAACTGTGAATCTTGAGAGTTATAAATATGCATAGAGTCAGATCATCAAATAAAAATGTGGTGATGTCAATGTATAATAATGAGCTTCAGATGTACTTGTAGGATTTGATCTCCACAACGTTATCAGGGACTCCGTTCCTTACACTGAGTCAGTTCACTTTCATACCCCTTTTTCATTTTCTCATTTGCTCATTTAATGTTTCAACATTCTTTCATCTTACTCAGAAATGCCAAGTGTAAAACTGTTAAATTTTTGAATGTAGTAGTTGCTCTGAAACGTCAAGGACAAACTCTCTATGTTTTTGGCGCATAAACAAATCTCCTACACCTCTAGTTCACATTTTCTTCCTGCTTTACTTTTGGGAATGGAATTGGTTTACTTAGATCAAAGAGATTTACTTTCATACATTATTCTGTGGACTGTTTGGTAACCTTTGTCATTCTCAATACCTTTATCTCTTGCTTGTCCTTTTGTACTCTTGTGTGTTGTTTAGATTGATCATGTTTTCTTTTGAAGGAAAAGTTGTAGTTTGGTAGTATTCTTATCTTGGTTGTTGGCTAGATAACACGTATCCTGATTGATACCCTGGAATTCTTTGAGATGAGCCAAAACTGATTGTTACCTATAACCGGGCAAAAAACCGGGTGTTGAACTGGGAATTTCTTTTTGCCCAGATTTCAGCTTGTGTCTAGAAATCTGGACTTCTGGGCATGTGCCCGGGCTTCTACTGTGTATCCCGTATTTGTTAAGTTTGCTGTTCCAGCATGATCAAAACCTAAGGGCCCATTTGGTCGCCCTGGTCAGATACTATCTGACAAAATTTCACACCAAAAGTTTGGAATTTTGTCAGATAGTATCTTGTTACAAAATGATTCAAATGGTGATTTTAGATTGCTGTTTGGATCAAATATTTGACATGAATTTTTGATTGGAAAATATCAGATATTTGCTCAGATAGAGATATGTAGAGCCTTCAGGCTGTATCTGAAGGCTCTATCTCTATCTGCCTCTCCTCCATCAACCTTTGTCACCATTTCTTTGATCATAACTTGTTACCCACACACCCTTTTATAATCATTTCAATCCTCACCACCCCGTCCTTGAGTAGTTCCTCAACCAACATATGCTTTCTACTCGCTTCATTCTGTTTAATTTCTATCACTTGTTCTCGTCTTTCAATCTGTCAGGAGGGGCATACACGGCCATAGCAGTATATCTCCTTCCTTACAAACAAACCTTATTACATATCAATAACTACATGTAGTTAATCAATTACATGTAGTTTTAAGCTGAAAGAACTTGTAACAAGGGATCACATGTAGTTACATACATGTAATCATCAAGTACACGCACAATACACATAGCGCTTTATTTCTCTTATTTCCTTTACTTATCACTTTCTCTATAAAATTTCTATATTTCTCTTTATTCACGTGTATTCAAAAGATGGTCAATCTTCAATAAACAAATACTCACGGATCAATTTGGAAGATGATCCTGAAGGGCTTTGTTTAATGATGATCTGTGTAATACACACATGTGATCCTAGTTCAAGCTACTAAGGTGGATTGGGAACCCAACTTAGTAACTGATCATCTAAAACTGATCTTCTTGGCATGTGATGGCCGCCAAGAAAGGATGTCTAGGGTCCTCGTGCTAAAAGGATGAATTGTTATTGAATAATTCACAAGGGTGATTCAGGATTAAATGGTGGATGGGTTTACTCACGCCAAAAGGGATGGTTTCTACATGCACATCTATTTGTAAAGATCATACAAGATCTTCTACGGATCAATGATCAGTTGTGCTCATGATCAGTTCTTATTCACTTCTTACGGATCAATGATCAGTTGTTCTCATGATCAGTTCTTATTCACTTCTTACAGATCAATGATCAGTTGTTCTCATGATCACTTCTTATTCACTTCTTGCAGATCAATGATCAGTTGTTCTCATGATCAGTTCTTATTCACTGCTATGATGTGGTTTTTTACTGTTTACTGTGCGTGTCACTCTTGTTCTGTTGGGTATATAAACCCTTGCTTTTGTCTTATTTCTTTTGTTCCTTACCTTCAATCATATTACCAAGTTTTCAACATTATTAAAAGCAAATTTTTGACGTCCCTATTCCTCTTTGGAGCCTGATCACTTTCCAGTGATAACCCTCTGCAGTTATTAATAGCCATGTCCTTGATATCCTTTTAATACTCTGTTTACTTGATTCTTGATTGCTAGAGTCACTGTCTCTTCATTAGTGTAATCTTTAATAAGAAAATACCTCTTATTAAAGCTCTTACCTTGCTCAACAAGCAAGCTTATTGACAATATCCTTTACAATAACCAATCAAGTTTACCAAGCTTTATAAACCAATCAATCCGTCCATAACAACCTCCAAAAGCCCTTACAAGTCCCTTATAATCCCTTTTAGTGTTAGTATCCACAGATCTGGTCTTTATTCTGCTATTTCTCTCTTGATTACTATTGTCAACTGCTGTCCTACATATGTAAATCATATGTAATTAACCTGTAACAGTTATATATCAACTATTACACGGTTATTTCCTTGCTCAATAAGCTTCCTTATTGACACAATCCTCCTCTAGTTCATGTTTTTTGATTGACTTCTAGTTCTCTTTCTATAATCTTAGTCCTTTTTGAAAAGTCTTCTATTTCTTTTTGAATCAACTTTTACTTCTCTTTTTGATTGTCTTCTACTTTCATTTCAATTGGCTTTGACTTCTTTTTAAATGGTCCTCTACTTTTTTTAAATCGACTTTTGTTTTTTTAAATAAACTTTTACTTTATTTAAAATAGTCCTCCACTTTATTTAAAATTGACTCTTACTTCAGGACATCACAACACAATGGTCATGTAATGTTCTCTAGGCGAGTGAGGTGAATGAAGGATGCAGTGGTTCTGAAGGGTTTTGGAAGAAAAGAAAAGAAATAGATTCACCGCGCTTGTTTTTAGGCGAGCTAGGTTGATGATGATGATGGTCTTTGATGACTGTTTTGGTGGGTTTTGGAGGGACAATTCCAACAGATATCGAAGGATTGATTTGAATAGATATTGAATTGTTCCTCCAATTCAAACATATATCAGATTACATATTTTCTTTTAAAGTTGCTATTGAACAGTGATATAAACATCACAAGGTCAACAGACGTCTGTTGACCTCTTGTGGTTTGCTGTTTGGTAATCTCAATATCTGATTTACAACCATCTCGATCTGCCCCTCGAGATAGGGGCTAGCTGGCCCTAGCCCCGTCCCCAAAGTTTTGGGGATCCCAAAGTCAAACCCCTGTGGGACGGGGAACGGGGAAAGCCGGGGATTCCCCAAATTGATCTTGAAAAATCAATTCCAGATGAATCTTTGAACGACTCCTTATCCATCTGTGGAAAGAACGACCAGTCTTCTTTCCACAGATGGATAATGAAGGAGCTTTACCTTGATTAGAATTTCACTCAATCAATCTTAGAAAACTATTTAAAGGAACATCAACTTTCAAGAATTTTGATCATAATGAGCCTCATCCATTATTAGAAGAAACATTGAATCAAAGTATAAGTGGAATTCTTGATCCATTAACTACCAAAACAATTCTTAAAGTTTTTGATCAAATTGTTAAAAGTTTTAAATCATTCATGTAATCGGAAAACTTCATTTTAAGAAATCTCATATAGAAACAACTTTGAAGTTGAAGTTATAAAAAGATCGTGTCTTGGAGGTAGAAAAGGTGGTGGTGATGGTGGTGTTTCTAGTAATCATTGAGAATTGATTGAGGTAAGAAGGCTTAGACTTGAGAATGATAAAACCGGTGTGGTACTGATAGCACAACAAGGGCTATACAGTGCTTTGAAAGAGGATAATCTGCAAATATAATAACTTTACAGAAGGTGTCTGAGACTGCTCTTTCTGATAATCTTTAACAAACTGGACTTTGTTGTTAAAGTCTCCTGATAACAGAGAAGAATAACCAGGACTATGATAAAAGAGAAAAGTATCTGTTGATAAGGCACCAGTGAAATTAACTCAACACAAAAGTGTTATTCCAAATGAAGTGTTAGCTTATAAGACCAATAAAATAAATTCTCTTATTAATTAATAAGGGCATTTTAAGTGAACTAGGACTGTGTAGTGATTTGTAAAATGATAAAAAACTACTACACTTTATCATAGATGAAGAAAAAAGGGAAAAATACAAAAGTGGGACAAAGTCCAAGGGCACGTTTGGTACGACTTACGAAAGTTCGTACCTTTTTAAAGGTACAAGATTTCCGACCCCGGAAAGTCGATTTTCGTCTTAAGTTGACTTTTAACAAAAAGTCAACTTATAAGTACAAACAAGTTGTAATTTGTTTGGCAGTCAAAAGCCGAAAAGCTTGTTGACCATTCAAAATTCAACTTATTTTCTTAATTCATCCATCTCCTCAGTCATCACGACTATCAAAACATCACCCTTTTACATCAGCACACATGTCTGATTCCTCCCAACGCGCGAGCAGCAGTGCAAAATATTGTATTGCGTTGCGGCTGCGTTGCGGTAGGGCGCAATCGCAAAGAGGCGTATGGGCATTGCGTGCCCGCGCAACGCAATGCGATTTGCTGGGCCCGCATTGTGGCGCAGTCGCAACACAATACAGCTTTACATGTATGAAACGCAATTTATTGTACTATATGTGTACCACAATTGAACCCGTAAGTCCTTGATTCCATCCCTTGTGATCGGCAATTAACACCCTTACAAACCAACCCCTGGACCCCCTTTCACCCAATCACAGCAAATTCCTCACTCAGATCAGCCAAAATCTCTCGTTGGAACCAAAACACCACACACTAACCTGGCACCACAGCATTAGTCTTATGATTGAATTCTTCATCAAGCGAAGATGGAAACCCTCAAGCCTTTCCAATTACAACAGCACCCCTGGCTCCAATCGAGTTGTAGAAAAACCCACACCGGTGAGTACATATAAACCAGCAGCCTTTGAGATGTAAAATTGATCCAGGCCTCAATTTCCTTCCATTAATAGATACGTATCAGCCTTCTATCATTCATTCTACTTGTATTTCACTTTGATATGGCACCCTCAGGCTCCAAGTCCCACAAAGAAAAATCCCTCCCGTCTTCTTCACTTGATCCGCCACATTCCTTGTCGTCGTCCTTGCTTCAAGTCCCCTCTTCAGCTTCTACTTCCAAAAACAGACGGTCACTTCGACCTCAGAGCCCGGTCCGTTTACCTCCTGGCTATGTTGCAACCCCTTCTGATGGTCGACGAACTCCTACTCGCCCTGATACAAGCAGCCTGAAACGAGGTCGAGTTGATGATGAAGGGTCTCAAGACGAAGATGAGAATGAAGATGAAGATGAAGAATACCGGAAGGAAGATGAAGATGATGAAAACATCAATGATGAACAAGAAGATTCCAGCACCTCTTCAGTAATTCATATCTCCGGAAGCCCATCCAAAAACCTCACTCGTAAGCGCTCAAAACCCAGTGGTTCGTCTGTACCCAAAAGTAAGAACCCTCGAAAGAGAGCCCCTGTAAGAAAGCACAGTAAGGTATGTTTATTTACGTGTTTCTTCATACTTTCCCTCACATAAGCGTATCAACACACTAACACTCGCTGGTCTGTTTCATCCATACAGATATCTCGAGTTCCTGACAAAGTCGATGTCGATTGAAACTCGGATGATGATGTTGAATCAAGGCCTAAGAAGAAGGCTAAACCTACGGAGTCAGACCTGGCAGAGTTGTATAAGTATTATAAAGGGCCAACAAGGCATCCAGAGCAGGTGATGTCTAATCATTATGTTCAAAAACTTTCTTATCTTCCATTTTTCTCATTTTTTCTTTTCGTTTCTATTTCTACATTCAGAAAAAGGATGAGGTCAAACCTCGCGGATGGACATGTCGATTTTGCAACCGCATCTTCCTTGACGGTGAAACAAATCATTTCAACCTTTGGGGGCATCGAGATGGTGGTAAGAAAAGGAAACCCTGTGCTAAACGCCCCCTTGCTAAGAAGGCAGGATTTCAACTACCGAAGACTTACCAAGAAACTGAAGCTGAATTGGTCGAGAACCACCGTCCATCCAAGGCCACATTGGATGGATTTCTAGCAACACCCAAATTCGATATCGAGCAACTCAATCGAATCATTGTCTTGTGGCAAGCTAGACATGCCTTACCTTGGCGACGTATTGAAGATCCTCTATTGCGATCTGCATTTCTCCTTGCAAACCAGTCTGCTGTACTTAGATCAAGTTGGTGGTCCAGAAAAACCGCAAGAGCGATGTTCAAAGACTACCATGATCATATGATTGAAACTCTCAAGGTACATAATTAAATCCAAAATTTCACTCATTCAACTAGCTTGTGATTTACTAACTCAACTCTTTGTAGATGTTACCATCAAAGTTCAACCTGATACACGACGTATGGACTACTCGTGGCGGAAAGAAGGCATTCATTGGATGTTCAATCTCTTACATCGACAACAACTGGAAGCTTCAAGTAAAGCATCTTACTATGAAGCTAGTTGCTTGGAACAAAAACGGAAAGCTCCTTGCAAGGCCAATTGGTAACTTTCTCATTCGTCATGGATTACATTCAAAGATTAGTTTAAATCTTCTCCAATTTTCAAATCGTCTCCTTTCTGATCTTTGCTCAATTTTTTTAACTAACACTTTTTGTTTTATCTCCTTATCCACATGGTAGCCCAAACGACGGATTCGGGTTCCAACAACGCAACCATGGCTGCTGAAATGGAACAGATGTTCCGCGCGGCAGATAACTCAGTCGAATGGGACTCATCTTCAAATCAGATTAGATGCTATGCACACAAGTTGGCTGTTACTGTTAAGGATGGACTGAAAGCAATTGATTTGACAGCCGGTCACACAAAGCCAACCACCAAGCCAGGTAGAGTACCTGAAATACTATTGCAATCAGAAGACGGACCTTCAATTGTGGTCAAGGGTCCATCCGATTCTGAAGACAACCACCAAATGGAGCAAGATGATCCCGATCTGGAACCCACTCAAGACTCCGATTCCAATCCAGAACTTGACGCCGCCGGTGATACTGAAGAAGGTGAAGAAGACGATCCTCCTCCAGCTCTTCTTGACCCCACGACTACTCGCCCGGATGTTCTTCCTGCGGCAGTTTGCAAGGTAAGTTTTGACATACTAACCTAATGATTATACTTCGCTAAATACTATATATGCTTCATACTTTCTAGGTGCGTGTAGTTGCGAATGCTATTGCTACATCCCACGCAAGAATTCAACAGTTTGAGGCCGTCAAGAAAGAGCTCAACTACACAGGACGAAGCCCTATTTCGGGCCACGGCCATCGCTGGGGAATCGTTTTAGATTCGCAGACTCGAGCGTGTGAGGCCAAAAAGGTATGTACACATTTGGTACATATTGTGAATCGTAGGTGTTGGTTGGCTCAAATCTAACCTACGATTCTGTACCTCAGGTTATCAATCATATATTGGCCGATGACGATGAAGGCTATTTCAATAGTATCACAATCAGTCGGGATGAATGGAGAGCGGTAGAGGCGCTTAATAACCTTCTGAAGGTTGGTTTACTTTTGAATTTTGATCACTTCCCGTATTTTGGTACTGATCATCACATTTGCAGTTTTTTACGATCTCAACAAAGCTAATGGAGGGTGATGAATCGAACGCATGTCACATCTTATTTGACTTCAAGTCCATGATTTCTGAGCTTCGAAGTCAACAACGATCAACCGTGTACCCCAGCCTCAAGAAGATGATTGACGTCATGATCCCGAAGCTCCAGGCCTACGAGTCCGAAGCCTTGAGGTGTGACGCAGTGGTTCTAGCAACTGCTCTTAACCCATCATATTGCCTCAAGTTCTTCAAAGATATGTATCCTGACGAAGTTGATCGAGTTTTGACGTTGTTGGCTCTACAGTTAAGTGAACTTCCTGAATCGAACGGCAATATGCAAAACGACACTTCGGGCCCTCCTTCTGGCGATGAACCACTCGATTGTTTCAAGAGATACACGGCTTTCAACGTCAGATCAGCACCTCCGGCCACCTCGGATCTTGAGTTGGAAGCCTACGTGAAAGGCAAATACCCTTGCGACCCAGCGATGGACCATCTATCATGGTGGGAAGTAAGTCTTCTCTCTTGTCTGCAAAGCATTAATACTGAGTCGTAAAATATGTTCTAACCTACACATCCAACCTGCACACAGATCAACCACAAAAGCTTTCCTCGTTTGGCAGTACTTGCCAGGGATTACCTCGCTTGTGTTGGCACATCTTGCTGTGTCGAAAGAACTTTCTCATCAGCAGGTGATGTATGTTCTCAGGATCAAAGTGGGCTCCTCTCTCAAACCATTGAGCGAGCAGTGGGCTGGCGCCAGTGGATGAAAGAGGGTTGGTATCCTCCTGGAGAGGTCGAAGAGACCTTGTTATTGATAGACAAACTTCAGTCCAAAGTCAAGGGCAAGGGTAAACAGAAAGGTTGATGTATGTTTTATTCCTTTGACCTTATTATTAGATTGTTTTCTTTTTCCACATGTGTTAGTTCAAGTGTGTGTGATTTCTTTTATGTCTTTTACTTCTCTTATTTTTCTTCTTTGTACCTTTTCTATATATTATAGGAGCTTAGTAATCAATCCCATACAGCAGTCACCTCTCTTAGATTTCACGCGCAATCCGCAAAAAAATTGCGGTAGTTATTGCGTTTCGTTTCGATGCGGTCTGGCGAAGCGCAATAGGTAGCTTCCAAAAAAAATTGCGGCCCCAACGCAACGAAGCGGTCCGTAGCAAGCTTGTAGCCGCAATACAATACAATAAAGGGCCTATTGCGCTTCGTTGCGTTGCGCTCGCGCGTTGTTCCTCCGCATCTTGGGGGGAATTAGATCAGATTCTTGAACCTTCTTCATCCGAGGGAAGTAACCCAGTAGATCATGATCAAGAAATCATTGATCGGCTATTGGCAGCTGCTCTAGACCGTGCCCAACTGGCACAGCAACCGAAGACACCTTGTCAAACCTCTGCTTTACATGGCTACATGTACAAACAAGAGATCTTAGCTGGAAGTCCAGTTAGATTCCGCGACATCTGCCGCATGGATCGAGCTACGTTTTATAGACTTCAAATGACAATGAGGCCATATCTAGAAGATACAATTCATACAACAGCTGTCGAGCAGCTTATGATCTTTCTTTATATTGCTGGTAATGCAGGTTCAACAGTTCTTGCTGCTGAGCGCTTCCAACACTCGGGAGAAACAATCTCTAGATACTATAACAAGGTAGTTTTGGCTCTTGTAGACTTAAAAGATACCTTCATCCGACAACCTGGCCCAGAATCACCGATTCCTAATGAGATCACCTCAAGTGCACGTTTTCATCCTTGGTTTGATGGATGCATTGGGGCGATTGATGGTACTCACATACCAGCAAGTGTACCAGAACGAGATCAAGCTGCTTATCGAAATCGAAAGGGTGACTTGAGTCAAAACGTACTTGCTGGATGCCACTTCAACATGTCATTTAACTTTATAATGGCAGGCTTTGAAGGAGGCAGTAGTGACGCTCGAGTACTTGAAGTGGCCAGGCAGGATGGCACTTTTGTAGTACCAGCTGGTGAGTCTTGGATTAATACATCTCCATTTGTATCTTTGCTGACTTTTTGAGTACAGGGCGGTATTATTTAGTGGATGCCAGCTACGCTAACGAGCCCGGCTTTCTCGCACCTTCCAGAGGTGTTAGATACCATATCAAAGAGTGGGCGGAAGGAAATAGAGGCCCTGTGAATCCTCAAGAACTGTTCAACAAGCGCCATTCTGGGCTTCGAGGATTTATTGAGCGCACGTTTGGAGTTACGAAAATGTGTTTTCCGTCGACTCGTTTCATGAGGAAGTATCCCATCAAACGACAGGCGGATCTAGTTGTGGCATTATGTGTACTTCAAAATATTATCTTACAGGGAGGTGAAGATCATTTTTTTGACGAGTTTGATCAGGAACAAGAGGCCAGAGACCAAAACCTCGCCAATCGAGAATTTGAGCAGTTTGAAGTTGCTACTGTAGCAGACAGGGAAAATGTGAATCGTGATAGGATGGTTTTGGCTGAGCGTATGTGGGAAGATTATATAGCTCAAGGCCGACGTTGATGGATAAAATTATTTTATTACCACATCAATGTTCATACAAAAGTAATTACATATTATATTTAAAAGATGGAGCGCACTATTTGGCTCCCGGTTTCCGTCGGTACTTTTCCAGCCAAAAATTGCAAACCGGGCTACTAAAATGACAAACCGAGCTACAACATTACCCAATCGGGCAGGTATTGTTTCAAAAAGGGCATCAGTGTCTTCAAACCGGGCTACAGCACCCCCTTTCCACATATGCCCTTTCACTCACTCTCTCTCGATTCACCCTTCTGAGCCAGCGAAGTTGACACATCACATCCATCAAACCGCATTCGGAACTCACTTCAACAACAGACAGACAGAACTAACTCAACATGAGACGTCGTCGTCGTCTCAAAATGGTAAGTCCTCCTCATTCCGTCTATTCGGTCTTCTCCTTATTCGTTTCTTCGTTTCCTTTGTTTCTTCATCGTACTGACAAGCATCATATACTATCCTATAGCCTTCCTTTACCGTGACCATCTTATGTCTCCCC